GTAATCACAAGGGTTCTTAAGTATGGAAGAGGGAGGCAGTGATGCACTTTGATGATGGAGGAAGAAACCACAGCCACCCCTCAAGGCTGGAAAAGACAAGGAAATGGATGTTCCCCTAGAGCCTCCAGGAAGAACACAGCCTTTCTGACACCCTAATTCTAGCCCAGTGAAACCTATTTTGGGTCTTTGAACAGAATTTTATTGTTGATCTGTAATGTTTTATACTTTAGAACTTGGAATTGTTGCTCAGTTGCTAAATCATATCTGACTCTTTGCGACCCCATGGACCGCAGCATGCCAAGATTCCCTGTCCTTCACTATATCATGGAGTTTGATCAAATTCATGTCCTCTGAGTCAGTGATGTTATCTAACCATCTCGTCTTCTGCCACCCTCTTCTCCTTTTGCCCTCAATCTTTCCTAGCGTCAGGGTCTTTTCCAATGAGTTGGCTCTTCATGTCAAGTGGCCAAAGTATTGGAACTTCAGCTTCAGCATCAGTCCTTCTGTTCTGGGCCATCAGTAGCTTAGGGAATTTCACTTAACATAGGTTGCTTCCTTCCTATTTGATCCCAAAGCTCTCTGCTTTTGCAAAACATTTGCAATTTAATTTTTTTAATGTTTGCCTTCTCAGCCAAATAGTAGGCTCTGTGAAAATAACAACCCTGTACTTTGCTAAAACTCAAGCACCAAGCTGAATGCCTGACACATGGCAAGATGTTTCTGGGGTGAATGGCATTGGATTGCAAGAAGCATCTTAGGCGAAGCATTTTTCGCTTTCCAGACACAACCCTGTGTCATTGTGACTGTTGTGTGTATCACACCCACTGTGTCCAGCCACTGAAGCATAGTCAGTGTGGCTAAGCTCTTTCATTCGACAGAACTTTCTGTCAAAGTTTACCCACATCTCACTCTCTCCCTTACGCAGCCAAGTGGATATGATGCAAGACATACACACATATGATATCTGATGATGCCCTGAAGTGGTTTAAAATTCTAAAAAAATTTGATAAGCTGTTCCTAGTCACCTTTTATGATTATAATATAACCTTTTTCCTAGGAACTGTGAGCTTGATTATAATGGCAGTAGTGTCTGATGGGTATGTATTCTCCTATGTGATTAAAGAGAAATTTGGAAAATAAGAGTGCCTTTTTCTTTTATTTTAAATAGAGATAAAGATGTACAGAACATTTTAAGACTTCTGGAGCCTTATAATTTAATGTTGCAGAGGGCTTGAATAGTTGTGATTTGAGAAAACATGTTCTGTCTTTAGGGCTTCCTGGGTGACTCAGTGGTAAAGAATAGTCCTGCCAAACAGGAGACGTGAGTTTGATTCCTGGGTTGAGATGATGCCCTGGAGAAGGAAATGGCCACCCACCCCAGTATTCTTGCCTGGAAAATCCCAAGGACAGAGGAGCCCCGCAGGCTATGGTCCATGGGGTCACCAAGAGTCGGACGTGACTGACTGAATAGTGGCAGTATTGTTAGCGGCAGTTCTGTCTTTTGGGGGAAACCTGGTTCATTCATTTCACTCTTCAAGGGAAATTTCGGTATCTAGGGAAATTTTCTTCTAAAAGAGCAAGAACTTCAGATGGCATGGTGAACGTGTCTAGCATATTAATATGTCTGTAGGGAAGTCGGGCAGACTTACTGGGTATGGTGCAGCTGGTGGGCAATAGCCCTCCTAAAACCGTATAGGGTACAACTTGCAGAATGTGAGGGGTAGCTCTGGAAATGTGAGTGACAGGGAATAGGTTTTGGGAGGGAATAGATGTGGGGAGGGCTCTAAGTCTTGACTGGAAGTTGTGCCTAACAGGGATATGGGAAACAGAAGCTTGGGAGGAAAGGTATGCTGAATGTGAAATGAGGTTAATGGCCGACTTGCAACACCAATGAGCCTTTACATTTCACTGGAGTGGCAGTGTGATGTGACCCAACAAACTTATTTTACCGTGGGCTCATGGAAGAGAGGAGAGGAGTGAGCAAGTGGCCAGCCTTGCCTGGTGACTGAAATAGGGCTCATGGCAGAGATGACAGATTGCCCCCATTAAAAACTTTGTGGAGAGATGAGATAATGCATGCCAAACTCAAAGGGATAAAAAGCTCCTTGATGGTAGGAAATGTTTTTGACTATGAATGCCTAGTAGTATTTATTTAATCCTCAAATTTAAGATTAAATTGGAATTGGCATAGATCTGTTCAGTTGCTACTAGCAGGAACAGGTGAGGAAGCAGACAGCTGACATTGCAGAGACCCTGATGATCCCTCATGCTTATGATGATTCCTTATGTAATGCTTAAATATTATACAAATTTGCAAGCCAGATTATGGTAATGACAGCTGACAAGGAGACTGGGGCAATCTGGCCATGGTAGTGCCTTAAGGTAGGAGTTCAGAGTTATTCTTAAAAGGTTAAATATACAGAGATACAAATATGCATCCTCTCAGACATTTTATACATTCCATAAAAAGTTGGTTAATCTTTTGTTTAAAACAATTTAAAGTTTATTTTTCAGGAATAAATGCAATTTTAAATGACCTTAATATACCTGATATACCTCTAAAAACTATTTTCCTGCTATAATCAAATTTCATTTTAATTCTATTTTATTAAAATAAACAAAATTATGCCTCATGTCTCCATTTGGACATTTAGATTTGCTAGAATGGATAGAATGGACTTTTTACTCCCCAAATCAATGACACTGTCATTATTAAAAAATGATTATATAATTTGAGAGATATTTTGAGGGGAAGTAAAATGATAAATTTATTAGAATACTGTTTCTTTTTTATATTTATTGGCTTGTGCTGATGTACTCAAGACAGCATGTTAAAATTTAATAATATATTTAATTTACATTAACATATTTATGCATGTTATTTCTATTTTATTATTGTATATTTATTTAAAAAATTTTGTGTTATAACATATTTTTACTATCTCATTGTCTGTATTGATTGGTACATTCCTGGGAGAAAGACAGTAAAAATTTGATATAATTTTATAATTTACCTTACTGTTAGCTCTCTCCCTGTCTATGCAAGAAGTCAGGAACTCATATTTTACCTTACCTACTCATTCAGTTTCAAGATGCTGAACAGGCTGCTACTGATATGTGCTAATAGTTCCTAATGAGCAGGTCACCCTTCTCTGCTTAGCGTTCTATCCTGGGAGGACAACCATACAAACTCTTCATCTCTCAGATTTTTGTTGGAGTCCACTGATGAAAGAAATAGAAGGAAAGAGGAAGGGATATTATACTGCTCTTTTCCTGCTGTGGGCAGTAGTGATGACCCTTCACAGCAACAGATAACATTCATTTCATCCACAGTCCCCAATTCTCATTCAGGTTCTGGTATTGCTATTTGCTCCTTTGTCCTATCAAGTTGAGGCACACCACAAGCTCCACTGTGGTTAGACTTTGTATGCATCAACACCCTTTGCTGGTTCACTTAATATTGTCCATTCTCTTTAAGGAGATCTTTTATTAAATGCTTTTTTCCCCTTCATAAAGTGTGTCTGTTTCTTTCTCTGAAACTCATTTTATTTGCTGTATGTAGGTAATAAAAATAGGAAAGGTGATAGTCATCAAGACAGCAATAAGTGCATATAATTGCTTGAACACTTTATTTGCTTTGGTTAGAACAAGATTGGTTCCATTGAAATAATTGAAGTTCATTTCACCTAAGATCTCAGAGCAGTTTAGAAAATAATTTTTCACATCTCCAAACAAGAAATTAAAGGAATTTATTCCCAGAGCTCTTTTTTTAAAAAATTTTTTTCAATGTTCAGTTTTTTTTTCTTCCATTTATTTTTATTAGTTGGAGGCTAATTACTTTACAATTTTGTAGTGGTTTTTGCCATACATTGACATGAATCAGCCATGGATTTACATGTATTTCCCATCCCGATTCCCCTTCCCACCTCCCTCTCCACCTGATCCCTCTGGGTCTTCCCAGTGCATCAGCCCCGAGCACTTGTCTCATGCATCCAACCTGGGCTGGTGATCTGTTTCACCCTAGATAATATACATGTTTCAATGCTGTTCTCTCGAAACATCCCACCCTCGCCTTCTCCCACAAAGTCCAAAAGTCTGTTCTGTACATCTGTGTCTCTTTTTCTGTTTTGCATATAGGGTTATTGTTACCATCTTTCTAAATTCCATATATATGTGTTAGTATACTGTATTGGTCTTTATCTTTCTGGCTTACTTCACTCTGTATAATGGGCTCCAATTTCATCCATCTCATTAGAACTGATTCAAGTGAATTCTTTTTAATGGCTGGGTAATATCCGATTGTGTATATGTACCACAGCTTCCTCATCCATTCATCTGCTGATGGACATCTAGGTTGCTTCCATGTCCTGGCTATTATAAACAGTGCTGCGATGAACATTGGGGTGCATGTGTCTCTTTCAGATCTGGTTTCCTTGGTGTGTATGCCCAGGAGTGGGGTTGCTGGGTCGTATGGCAGTTCTGTTTCCAGTTTTTTAAGGAATCTCCACACTGTTCTCCATAGTGGCTGTACTAGTTTGCATTCCCACCAACAGTGTAAGAGGGTTCCCTTTTCTCCACACCCTCTCCAGCATTTATTGTTTGTAGACCTCCAGAACTCTTTAAATTTATACAGGTGGATGTAGTTTGAGAGTTGTAAACACAGACATTTGTATTGGGCAATATGGTGGAGGGAGGGTTGATTATAATTTGAGTAGTAACTTTGGTAGGAACTGTGGAGGTAATTTCTGCTGATATTGTGTTGGTGGGCTCTTTTGCTGAAGACATGGGTACTGTTGAAGAGGTGGTGAGTTCTGTTGTGATAGTGGGTTCTGTGAAAATGCTGAAAGTGGTTGCTGTGGTAGTGGAGTTTGTCAAAATACTTGTGGTGATTGTTATTGTGATGGGTTCTGTACTAGTGTTGATAATTGCTGGAGTGGGAAATTCTGTATAAATAGTGGTAGTTGCTGAGGAGGTGGATTCTGTAGAAGCAATAGTTGCTGCTGTGGTGGAAGTGATGACGGCTGCAGTAGTGGGGAATTTTGTGGAACTTGTGGTAATTGGTATAGTAGTGGGTTCTGTGGAAATGCTGGTGGTTGCTATTGTGATGGGTTATGTGCAAAGAATGATGGTTGCAGTTGTGGTGGGTGGTTCAGCAGAAGTGGTGGGTTCTGTAGTAGTGATGATGGTTGCTGTGTCGGGGAATTTTGTGGAAGATGTGACGGTTACTGTAGAGGTGGGCTCTGTAATGACTGCTGCTGTGATGATGGGTTCAGCAGAAATAGTGGCGGTGGTGATTGTGGCTGGTTCAGTAGAAGTGATGTTTGTTGCTGCAGTGGGGGTTTCTGTAGAAGTAGTGGTGGTTGCTATTGAAGTGGATTCTTTGGAAGTAGGATAGAGCTCAGTGGAAATAGTGGTGGTTGCTGTGGTGGTGGTGCCTTTATTAGAAGTTGTGGCAGTTGCTGTGGTTGTGGGCTCTGTGAAAGTGGTAATGGGTCCTGTTATGGTGGTCTCTTCTGTGGAAATAGTGGTGGTTCCTCTGGTGGTAGTAAGTTCGGTGGAATTGGTGGTGGTTGCTGTGGTGTTAGAGATTAGAAATAGTAGCAGAAGTGCTGCTGGGTTCAGTTAAAGCAGTCATGGTTGATATGGTGATAGATTCTGTAAAACTGATTGTTTTTCTTGTAGTGGGTTCTTTGGAGGTTGTGGAAGTTCCAGTTGTGGTGATAGGTTCAGTTAAAGTGTGGTGATTTTTTTGGTGGTGAGTTTGGTAGTAGTGATTATTGTTGCTGTGGCGTGGGATTCTGTGGAAGTGGTTGCCATAGTGGTGGGCTCTATGGAAGTAATGATGGTTGCTGTGGTAGAGTCAATGGTAGTGGTATTGGGTTCTGTGGGAGAGGTAATGGTTGCTGTTCTGGTGGTAGATTTTATGGGAGTGGTTGTTGCTGCTGTGGCAGTGAGTTGGGTTGAAGGGGTGGTGATTTCTGTTCCAGTGGTTTCTGTAGTATTGATACTGTTTGCTGTGGTGGAGGGTTCTGGTGAAGTACTGATGGCTGCAGCAGCGGGTGCAATGGAACTGATGGGTGCTGATGAGATGGTGGGCTCTGTCAAAGTGGTAGTGGCTGCTTTTGTGGTGGTAAGTTCAGTTGCAGTAATGGTGGTTGCTGTGGTGGTAGAGTCTGTAGAAGTGGCTATTGCTTCTCTTGTGGTTGATTCTGTGGAAGTTGTGGTGGTTCCTGTTGTGGGGAGAGGTTCATTTGAAGTGGTGATGGTTGCTGTGGTTATGTGTTCAGTGGGAGCAGGAGTGGTGGCTGTTGTGGTGAGTTCTGTAGTACTGATGATGGTTGCTGTGTTGGGGAATTCTGTGGAGGTAGTGATGGCTACTGTAGTGGCAGGCTCTGTGGGAATGATGGGTGCCGTTGTGGTAGTAGATTCTCTGGTAGTGGCATAGTGGTCTGTGGAAGTGGTTATAGTTGCTATTTTGGTGCTAGGTTCAGTGGGATTGGTGGTTGCTGCTCTGGTTCTGGGTTCACTTACAGTGGTTGTGGTTGATGTGGTTGTGGTTGATTCTAGAAGTGAAGAGATTTGCTCCGGTGGTGGGTTCTCTGGATGAAGTTGTGGTTCCTGTTGTGGTGGTAGGTTCAGTTGAAGTAGTGATTATTTCTTTGCTGATGAGTTCTATGGTAGAGATGAGTTTTTCATTGTTGCGGGATTCTGCAGATGTAGTGGTGGTTGCTGTGGTGGTGGACTCTATGGAATTAATGGTGTTTGCTGTGGTAGACTCAGTGGAAATGGTGCAGGGTTCTGTGGAAGTGGCGGTGGTTGCTGTTCTGGTGGTGGATTTTATGGAAGTGTTTATTGTTGCTGTGGTGGTGGGTTCAGTGGAAGCAGTGGTGATTGCTGTTCTGCTGGGTTCTGTAGTGGTGATACTGTTTGCTGTGGTGGAGAGTTCTGGTAATATACTGACGGTTGCTATAGAACTGGGTGCTGTGAAACTGATGGGTGCTGACGTGATCATGGTAGGTTCTGTCAAATTGGCAGTGGCTGCTGGTGTCGTGGTAAGTTCTGTTGGAGTAATGGTGGTTGCTATGGTGGTAGATTCTGTAGAAGTGGTTATTGTTTCTCTTGTGGTTGATTCACTGGAAGTTGTGGTGGTTCCTGTTGTGGGAAGAGGTTCATCTGAAGTGGTAATTGTTGCTGTGTTTATGTGTTCAGTGGAAGCAGGAGTGGTTGCTGTTGTGGTGGGTTCTGTAGTACTGATGATGGTTGCTGTGTTGGGGAATTCTGTGGAGGTAGTGATGGCTACTGTAGTGGCAGGCTCTGTGGAAGTGATGGTTGCTGTTGTGGCAATGGGTTCTCTGGAAATAGCTGTGCTTGCTATTGTGGCAGGTTCTGTGTAAGTGATAGCTGCTGTGGTGGAGGTGGAATCTGTGGAAATGGGGATAGTTGCTATTGTGGTAAGTTCAGTGGGATTGGTGGTTGCTGTGGTAGTGGGTTCAGTTACAGTGGTTGTGGTTGTGGTGGCAGAGGATTCTCTAGGTGAAAAGATTGTTGCTTGGGTGGTGGGTTCTGTGGGGGTGGTGATGGTTCCTGCTGTGGTGGTAGGTTCAGTTGAAGTGATTTTGGTTGCTGGGGTTATGAATTCAGTGGGAGCAGGGGTGGTGGCTGATGTGATGGGTACTGTAGTACTGATGAAGGTTGCTGTGTTGGGGAATTCTGTGGAAGTAGTGATGTCTACTGTAGTGGCAGGCTCTGTGGGAGTGATGGGTGCTGTTGTGGTAGTGGATTCTCTGTTAGTGGCATAGGGTTCTGTGGAAGTGGTGATAGTTGCTATTTTGGTGCTAGGTTCAGTGGAATTGGTGGTTGCTGTGGTGGTGGGTTCACTTACAGTGATTGTGTCTGATGTGGTAGAGGATTCTCTAGAAGTGAAGATATTTTCTCTCGTGGTGGGTTCTGTGGAGGTGGTGGTGGTTCCTATTGCAGTGGTAGGTTCAGTTGAAGTGGTGGTTATTCCTTTGCTGATGAGTTCTATAGTAGTGATGAGTTTTGCCCTGTTGTGGGATTCTTCAGATGTAGTGGTGGTTGCTGTGGTGGTGGGCTCTATGGAAGTAATGGTGTTTGCTGTGGTAGACTCTGTGGAAGTGATGTAGGGTTCTGTGGAAGTGGTAGTGGTTGCTGTTCTGGTGGTGGATTTTATGGAAGTGGTTATTGCTGGTGTGGTAGTAGGTTCAGTAGAGGGGGTAGTGATTGCTGGCGTGGTTGGTTCTTTAGTAGTAAATCTGGTTGGTGTGGTAGCGAATTCTGGTAAAGTAGTGAATGTTGCTGTAGCAGTGGGTGCTATGAAACTGATGGGTGCTGATGTGATGGTGGATTTTGTGAAAGTGGTGATGGTTGATGTTGTGGTGGTAGGTTCAGTTGAAGTGACTGGGGTTGCTGTGGTGGTGGGTTCTGTAGAATCAATGATGACTGCTCCTGTGGTTTGCTCTGTGGCCATTGTGGTGATTCCTGTAGTGGTGAGAGATTCAGTTGAAGTAGTGATTGCTGTGGAAGTGAGATTGGTGAAACCTGTGTTGGTTGTTGCTATGGTAGGTTCTATAGTAGTGATGGTTGTGGTGGGGGATTCTGTGGATATACTTGTGGTTGCTATAGTGGTAGGCTCTGTGGCAGTGATGGTGGGATAAATGGAAGTGTTAGTGGTTGCTATTTTGGTGGATCCTGTGGAAGTAGCATAGGCTTCCATGGAAGTGGTGAAGCTTTCTGTTGTGGTGGTTGGTTCAGATGAAGTGGTAGTTGCTGTAGTGGGCTCTGTGGAAGTAATTGTTCCCATTTTGGTGGTAAATGATGTAGAAGTCATGGTGTTTGCTATTGTGGTGGGTTCTGTAGAGGTAAATATGGTTGCTGTGGTGGATTCTATGGATGTGGAATAAGGTTCTCTGGAAGTGTTACTGGTTACCAATGTGGTGGTGGGCTCTGTGGAAGTGGTGGTGGTGGGCACAGTGGAAGCAGTGACTGCTCTTGTAGTGAGTTCTGTATTAGTATTGATAATATCTGTGGCTGGAATTTCTGTGGAAGTGCTGGTGGTTGCTATGGAGGTGGATTCTGTAGGGGTGAATATTGCTGGTGTGGTGGTGGACTCTGTGGAAGTAATCATGGAAACTGTGGTGGTGGGTTCTGGGGAAATGTTGTTCATTGCTACTGTGGTGGGTTCTGTGGAGGTAATGATGGCTTTTGTGGTTAATTCTGTGGAAGCTGTATAGGGTTCTGTAGAAGTGAAGGTTGCTGATGTGGTGGGAGGTTTATTTGAAGTGGTGCTGTTTTCAGTGGAAGCAGTGGTGCTTGTTGTTGTGGGTTCTGTAGTGGTGATGATGGCTGCTGTATTGGGCAATTCTGTGGAAATAGTGGTAGTTACTACAGTGGTAGGTTCTGTAGAAGTGATCATTGCTGTTTTGATGATGGGTTCTGTGGAAATAATGGTGGTTGCCAATGTGGAAGGTTCTGTAGATGTGACTATTGTTGCTGTGGTGGGGGTCTCTGTGGAAGTAGTAGTGCTTTCTGTGGTGGTAGAATCTGTGGTAGTGATGGATGCTGTTGAAAGGGTGGGTCCTGTGGAATTGGTGGTGGTTGCTATCATGGTAAATTCCATGGGAGCAGTGTAGGGTCCTGTGGAAGTGATGATGTTTGCTGTTTTGTTGGTAGGCTCAGTTAAAGTGGTGGCGATTGGTGTTTTGGTTGAATCTTTGGAAGTGATAGTTGTTTCTTTGGTAGTAGGTCCTATGGAAGTGGTGGTGATTTGTATTGTGGTGGCAGGTTCAGATGAAGTGGTGGATATTGCTGTAGTGTTGGGCTCTGTGGAATTAATTGTTGCCATTGTGGTGGTGGGTGATATGGAAGTTGCAGTGGTTGCTATTGTGGATTCTGTGGAAGTAAATATGGTTGCTGTGGTGGATGGTTCAGAAGTGATATAGGGTTCTATGAAAGTGGTGTTGGACTCTATAGAACTGATATTTGTTCCTATAGTGTTGGTAATATCTGTGGAAGTTGTGATTGACCCTGTTGTGGTGGCAGATTCAGTTGCAGTGGTGTTGATTGCTGCAGTGGTGGATTCTGTGGAAGTAATGATTGTTGCTGTGCTGGTGGTATCTCTAGAAGTTGTGGTTCCTGTTGTAGTAGGTTCAGTTGAAGTGATAATGCTTTCTATGGTGATTTGTTCAGTGGAAACAGTGGTGGTTTCTGTTGTGGCAGGTTCTGTAGTAGTTATGATGGTTGCTATGGTGGGAAATTCTGTGGAAGTAGCAGTGGTTACAGCAGTGGAAGGCTCTGTGGACGTGATGGTTGCTGTTGTGGTGATGGGTTCTGTGAAAATGGTGGTAGTTGCTATGGTAGTGGAATCTGTGGAAGTGATGACTGCTGTGGTGGTGGTGGTAGGTTTTTTGGAAGTGGGATAGGGTTCTGTGGTAATGGTTGCTGTTGTGGTGGTAGGTCCAGTTGAATTGGTGGTGGTTACTGTGGTGGTTGGCTCTTTAATGATGGCTGGTATAGTAGATTCTGTGGTAGTTGCATAATGTTCTGTGGAAGTGGAAATGGTAGCTGTCTTGTTGGTGGTTTCTATGGAAGTGGTAGTAGTTTCTCTGGTGTTGGGCTCAGTAGAAGTGGTGGTTCCTGTGGTGATGGATTCTTCAGAAGTGTTGATTATTGCTGTGGCTGTGGGTTGTATGGAAGTTGTAGTGGTTCCTGTTGTGGTAGTAGATTCAGTTAGAGAGGTAGGGGTTGCTGTAGTATTGAGATCAGTGGAAGTGGTGCGGGTTGCTAATGTGGTAGATTCTGTAGTAGTGATGCTGGTTGATGTGGTGGGAGATTCTTTGGACATGGTGATGGTTGCTGTAGTGGTAGGCTTTGTGATTTTGTTTGCTACTGTGGCTGATTCAGTGGAAGTAATGATGGTGGCTGCTATGGATTCTGTGGAAGTGGTATAAAGTTCATTGTTTGTGTTGATGGTGGCCATTGTGGTTGATTCAGTGGAAGTGGTTGTGGTTGGTATGTTGGTGGATTCTCTAGAAGTGAAGATTGTAGCTGTGGCACTAGGTTCAGTAGAAGTTGTAGTGGTTCTGTTTGAGGTGATAGGTACAGTCAAAGTGATGGTGGTTTTCTTGATAGTAGGTTCTGAAGTAATAATGGTTGCTGTGGTGGGGGGTTCTGTGGAAGTGATGGTTGCTGTTGTGGTTCTAGGTTTAGTTAAAGTAGCTGTGGTTGTTGGATTAGTGGGCTTGGTGGAAGTGATAGTTGATGTTATGGTGGGTTCAGTGGTGGTAGATTCCATAGACGTGATTGTTGCATGCGTAATAATGTCTGTGGAAGTTGTGGTAGTTCCTGTTGTTGTGGTAGGTTCAGCCAAAGTGATAGTGATTGCTTGGGTGGTGGGTTTTGTACTAGTGATGATTGTTGCTGTGGTGTGGGATTCTGCAGAAATATTGGTGATTGCTGTAATAGTGGGCTCTGTGGAAGTAATGGTAGTTACTGTGGTAGATTCTGTGGAAGTGGTATAGGGTTCTGTGGAAGTGGTAATGGTTGGTGTTCTGATGGTTGATACTATGGAGCTGGGGGTGTTTGCTGTGGTGAGGGTTTCAGTGGAAGCTGTGATGGTTGCTCTTGTGGTGGGTTTTATAATTGTCAAGATGTTCGTTATGTTGGGGGATTCCAAGGAAGTAGTGGTTACTGCTGTAGTGGTGGGCTCTGTAGAAGTGATGGTTGTTGTTATGGAGGTGGGTTCTACAGAGGTGTTGATTGTTGCTTTGGTTGTAGGTTCCATGGAAGCTGTAGTGGTTGCTGTGGTGGTTGATTCTGCAGAGGTGTTGGTTGTTGCTTGGGTTGTGGGACCTGTGGAAGTTATGGTTGTTGAAAATGTGGTAGGTTCTGAGGAAGTGACAATGGTTGCTGTGGTGGGTGATTCTGTGGAAGAAGTGGTGTTTACTGTGGTGGTGGGCTCTATGAAAGTGGTGGTGGTTGCTATTGTAGTGGGTTCTGTAGAAATAGTAATGGTGGCTGTGGTATATTCTGTGGAACTTTTATAAGGTTCAGTGGACATGGTGATGGCTGCTGCTGTGGTGGGAGGTTCAGTAGAAGCAGTGTTGGTTGCTGTGATGGTGGGCTCTACGTAAGTGATGGTTGCTGGTGTTGGGGTAGGTTCAGTTGAAGTTACAGTGGCTACTGTGTTGGTCAGTTCTGTAGAAGTGGTGGTGTTTGCTATGGTGGTGTGCTCTGAAGAAGTGATGTTTATTGCTGTCATGGCAGGTTCCTTGGAAGTTATAATGTTTCCTGTTGTGGTAGTTTCAGTTGAAGTGGTGGTAGTTGCTATGGTGGTTGGCACTGTGAAAATGATGGTTACAGGTTTAGCAGAAGGTTCAGTTGAAATGGTCATGGTTCCTGGGTTGGTGGACTCTGTGGAAGTAGTTGTCACTGTTGTGGTAGGTTCTGTGGAAGTAATGATAGTTGCTGTGGTGGATTCTGTGGAAATGGTAGTAGATTCTGTAGAAGTTATGGTTTTTCCTACTGAGGTGTTAGGTTGAGTTGAAGTGGTGGTAATTGCTGTTGTGGTGTGCTCTGTGGGAAGTTTGGCTGCTATTTTCTTTGTAGGTTCAGTTGAAATGGTGGTGGGCTCTGTGGAAGTGATGGTTGCTATTGTGATAGGTTCAGATGAACTGGTAGTGGTTTCTGTGGTGGGCTCTGTGGTAGGAATGGTTGGTGTTTTATCAATGGGTTCTGTGGAAGTGGTGGTTTCTATTGCAGCAGGCTCCATGGAAGTAATGTTGCTTGCTGTGGAGTATTTTGTGACAGTAGTATATGGTTCAGTGGAAGTGATGGTGGTTGCTATTGTGGTGGCTGGTTCAGTTGAACTTGTGGTTGCTGTGGTGGTTGGTTCTCTAGAAGAAATAGTGGTTGTGTGTTCTGGAGTAGTAGCAATGATGGTTGCTGTGCTGAGCAATTCTGTGGATTGTATAGTGGTAGCTGTAATAGTGTGTTCTGTAGAAGTGATGGTGGTTGCTGTGGTGAAGGGATAAGTGGGAGTAGTGGTGGTTGCTATTTTGTTGGGTTCTGTGGAAATAATAATGGCAGCTTCGGTAGAGTCTGTGGAAGTTGTATTGTTTCCTGTTGTGGTGATAGGTTCAGCTGAAGTGGTTGCTGTGGTGGTGGGTTCAATGGAAACAGTATTGGTTACTATTGTGGTAGGTTCTGTAGTAGTGATGATGGTTGCTGTGGTGGAGGATTCTGTGGAAGTGGTGATGGTTGCTGTTATGGTGGCAGATTCATTTGAAGTGATGGTGGTTGCTCTTTTGGGCTCTGTGGTAGGGATGGTTGCTGTTTTATTGGTGAGTTTTGAGGAAGTGGTGGTAGTTTCTATTGTGATAGGCTCTGTGTAAGTAATGAAGGTTGCCATGGAGGATTCTGTGGAAGTAGTGGTGGTTGCTGTGGTTGCAGACTCTGTGGAAAGAGTGGTGGTTTCTCTTATGGTGGGCTCTGTGGATGCAGTGGTAGTTTCTGTCATGGATTCTGTAGAGGTGATGGATTCAGTGGTTATGGTTGGTGTGGTGGTAGTAGATTGAGTAGTAGTGATAGTTGCTGTGGAGGCAGATTCTGTATCAGTGATTGTTGTTGCTATGGTGGTGGGTTCTGTGGAAGTGGTGGTAGTTGTGTTGGTCGGTTCAGAGGAAGTGATGGTGATTGCTATAGTGGTGGGCTCTGTAGAAGTGATGGTTGCTGTGGTGGTGGGTTCTGAGATGGTAGTGGGTTTTGTAATGTTAGTAGTAGTGGGTGTGGTTGTGGTTGTTTTAGTTGAGTGTGGAAAGTGCCCTTTTGTAACAGGAGGAAGTGGAAGGCACCCTTTTGTAACTGGAAGGGGAAGACGCCCTTTTGTGCCAGAAGGAAGAGGGGGAGGGGGAAGGCGCCTTTTTGTGCCAATTGGGGGAGGGGGAGGATGCCCTTTAGTGCCAGGAGAGGGAGGTGGGGGGAGACACACTTTACTGCCAGGAAGGGGAGAGGGCGGGCGCCCTTTTGTGCCAGGAGGGGGAAGGCGCCCTTTTGTGCCAGGAGAGGGAAGGCGCCCTTTTGTGCCAGGGGGAGGAGGGGGAAGACGGCCTCTTGTGCCAGGAGAGTGAGGGGGAAAACGCCCTTTTGTGCCTGGAGAGGGAGGGGGAAAATGCCCTTTTGCCCCAGGACGGGGAAGGCGCCCTTTTGTGCCAGGAGAGTGAGGGGGAAGACGCCCTTTTGTGCCAGAGGGAGGAGGGGGAAGACGCCTTTTAGGACCAGGAGGGGGAGGGGGAAGACGGCCTTTAGTGCCAGGAAGGGGAAGGCGCCCTCTTGTGCCAGGAGGGGAAGGGGGAAGGTGCCCTTTAGTGCCAGGAGGAGGAGGGGGAATGCGCCCTTTTTTAGCAAGAGGGGGAAGACGCCCTTTTGTGCCAGGAGAGGGAGGGGAAAGGCGCCCCTTTTTAGCAGGAGAGGGGAGGCGCCCTTTTGTCCCAGGAGCAGGAGGGGGAATGCGCCCTTTTTTAGCAGGAGCGGGCAGACGCCTTTTTGTGCCAGAAGAAGGAGGGGAAAGGCGCCCTTTTTTAGCAGGAACAGAACGGGGAAGGAGCCCTTTAGTGTCAGGTGGAGAAGATGGAAGTTGCCTTTCTGTACCAGGAGCAGGAGGAGGTGCACGGTTCCCTTTTGCGCCAGAAAGAGGACGTGGAGCCAGGCGACCCGTGGTCCCAAGAGGAGTAGGTGGTGCACCTTGCCCGTTTCTAAAAAGAGGGGGAGATAGCACAGGCCCTTGTGGCGAAATAAATCCTAGGCCATTGGCAGGAGCGAGTGGAGGAACATCTCTGCTTGGTTTATAAGATGCAACCGATGAAAATCGCTCTCTGGATGGATACAGTCCCTTGGGGATGCTTTGACTCTCACCGAGCTGTGGGGATAAAAACCAACAAAAAGCAAAATGATTTCCAAGTCTTATCATTTAAAGTTCAAAGACTGATACATGTACTTTTAAAAATAATGCAGTCATATAGTTCACTGAGAAAATAAGTTAGATAAAAGAAGTAGAGAATTTCCCCATCTCTTCTGGAAGTCTGGGCACTTGACGAAATCTAGAATAGCAATAAATGCAAAAAACAAAACAGAAATAAACTTACTCTCTCACCTACAGATTTCAGAGGAGGCCAAATCACCTTGATTGCATAATAAAAGAGACCATCTTTGGGCTTTCCTGGTGGCTCACCAGTAAAGAATCTGCCTGCCAGTGCGGGAGACCTAGGTTTGACCCCTGGGTTGGAAAGATCCCCTGGAGAAGGAAATGGCAGCCTACTCGAGTAATCTTGCCTGAGAAATTCCACGGGCAGAGGAACCTGGTGGGCTACAGTCCATGAGGTGGTGAGAGTTGGACGTAGCTTAGTGACTGAACAGCAATCTTTGGAAATAGCTTTAGTTGGAAGGAAATGCTCCAATGAAACTACCTGGAAAATTCCTGTTACTCTTCATTCCAAGGATTCAGTGAGATTCCAGTCTCTGAGCCATTAATTAATTGTGTAACTATTTGTTGAGAACTGTTTATATGCAACACACATTTTTAGGGGTTAAGGGAAAGAAATTTAAGACCTGAATCCTTTCTTACAGAAGTCTGAAATCTATAAGTTTTACAATATAAGATTTACAATATTACGATCCTAATTTACAATATGAGACAATACAATAAAAAGCCTGTGGGGAGTTGTGTAGTGTGTTGGTTAAGAAAAAGACGCTGGAGTCTGATTGCTAGAGCTATTCCTTCTGTTGCATGCTAGCTGAGATGCTTATACTGTCTCTGCCTCTGCTTCTTCATTTCTAAAATGGTTCTAGGAAAAATTCGTGACTTATATACTGTTGATAAAACTATATATAACCAATGGAAAGTACTTAGACATGGTGAAGTGTGGTAAGGACTCAATATTAATGTTAGCTATTATTTGTTGCCTTTTTTTTTTCTTTTGAACTTTTTATTTTGTATTGAGGTATAGCTGATTAACAATGTTGTGATAGTTTCAGGTGAACAGTGAAGGGACTCAGCCATACATATACATGTACCCATTCTCCCCCAACCTCCCCTCCCATCCAGGCTGCCACATACCACTGAGCAGAGTTCCATGTGGTATACAATAGGTCCATGTTGATTATCTGTTTTAAGTATAGCAGTGTATACATGACATTCCCAAAGTTTCTAACTACCCCTTCCTCTATAAAACCATAAGTTCATTTTCTAAGTCTGTGAGTCTCTCTCTTTTGTAAGCTCATTAGTATCATTTCTTTTTAGATTCCGCAAATAAGGGGTATCTTAAAATATTGCTCCTTCTCTGTCTGACTTCACTTACTGTGACACAAATGTCACATGTTGCTGCAAATGGCATTATCTAACTTTTTAAATGTCTAATATCCCATTGTATATCTGTACCACATCTTTATCCATTCATCTGTTGATGGACATTTAGGTTGTTTCCATGTCTTGGCTATTGTAAACAGTGCTGCAATGAACATCGGGGTGCATGTATCCTTTTGGATATTTTTCTCCAGATACATGTCCAGGAGGGGGATTGCAGCATCATATGGTAGCTCTATTTTTAGTTTTTTAAGAAACTTCCATACTGTTTTCCATGGTGGCTGTACCAATTTACATTCCCATCAACAGTGCAGGAGGGTTCGCTTCTGTCTACACCCTCTCCAGCATTTATTATTTGTGGATTTTTTGATGATAGCCATTATGGCTGGTATGAGGTGATATCTCATTGTAGTTTTGATTTGCATTTCTCTAATAATTAGTGATATTGAACATCTTTTCATGTGCCTATTGGCCAACCATATGTCTTTTTTGGAGAAATGTCTGTTTAGGTCTTCTGCCCATTTTTTTGTGTGTGAGTTGTTTGTTTTGATGCTGTTAATCTGTTTGTAAATTTTGGAGACTAATCCCTTATTGGTCACATCGTTTGCAAATATTTTCTCCCAATCTGTGGGTTTTAAAAAAATTTATTGTTTCCTTTGCTGTGAAAAAACTTTTGAGTTTAAGTAGGTCCCCTTTGTTAATTCTTGTTTTTACTTCCATTATTTTGAGAGATGGATCAAAAAAGATGTTGTTGTGATTTATGTCAGAGAGAGTTCTGTCTATGTTTCCCTCTAGGAGTAACATAGTGTCCAGTCTCAATGCAAGCTATTTTGTCTTCTGTGAATACCAGCTGCAGTGATTTGTGGGCCTGATAGCAGGTCAAGAAATAGTTGATAAATAGTGCAAAAAATTCTGATGCAATAACAATTTTAAGGCAAAGTTTAATTTTGGTTAAAAAGAGAACTAAGGATTGCCTTGTAGAAAGATAACATTTAAAATGAAGCTTAAACAATAAAGTTGAAATGAGGAAGATGAATTCAAGTTAAATGAATGTTGTAAGCAAATAAACAGGGTCAGGAAATAGAAGTCCTAGTCTAGGGATAGTCAGAAGACCAGTTGGCCTGCAATAGAAGTTTCAGGAGGGTGCAGGACTCTAGTCACTCACTTGTCACTTTCAGTGACTTGCTTTTGTGTCTTTTTGCCATATTGACCTAGGAAACATCAAATACTTGGATCAACTCTGTACAAACTATTTCTATTGCCAGATGGGTGAACATTGCTGGAGAATGCCACAAATCACCAAATATTAGATTTATAGTGTCCATCCTCATCTAGCACCCCAGCAATGCTAATCCATTCTCCCCTATTTTCCCCCAAATGCTGTCTTCCAAGCATCTACACCTCTTTTTGTCTCCTCTTGCCTCTTATCCCTAAAAGAAGATGATCGTGTCTTCTGTTTCACAAAATTGATGCTATTGCATGGAGAACTTTGCTTTTCTGCCCACATGCCTATAAAATTCCCCTATCTCCAGCTGTTTCCTCTTCCTGTTTACAGTCAACTTTTTCATCTGTATCCTATAACTATCTTCTCTCCCTTCCCAGGGCTTTTTCTCTTTTAATTATCACTTTTCACTTTTCATAGAAACCTCTTTTTAATCCTTTGCCGTATTCTCCCAGTCCATAATTATCAACTTACATCTCATGTATTAAAGAATCCCATTCTCAACCAGAGTACCTCTGATTGTTAACCTCCACAGTACCTCTGTAGCTGTTATCACAAGCTTATCTTGTTTCATTCCTAGTCATATGATGAGGAAGGTTAGACTAGATTTTATGTTCCTACCTCTTAATTTCTATTTCCTATTTATCCTGATGTCTATTACTAACACACAGCTGAATCCCTTTTACACATCACTTAAAAATTCTGTCATTTCACAGGGAGGGGAAGGAGAGGGTGGCATGAATTGAGAGTAGCATTGAAACATATATATTACCATATGTAAAATTAGATAGCTGGTGGAAAATTGCTGTATAATGCAGGGAGCTCAATTCTGGTGCTCTGTGACAGCTTAGAGGGATGGGATGGAGGGGGTGGTTGGAGGGAGGTTCAAGAGGGAGGGACATACATATACCTATGGCTGAATCATGTTGATATATGGCAGAAACCAACACAATATTGTAAAGCAATTCTCCTCCAATTAAAAAGAAATAAACTTAAAAAATTCTGTCAAACAGTTCATCCAATCAAAACATGGGCAGATGACCAAAATATACATTTCTTCCAAAGAGGCATACAGATGACCAGTGGGCACATGAAAAGACGCTCAACATAGCTAATTATTAGAGAAATGCAAATCAAAACCTCATACTGATCAGAATGGCTATCATAAAAAAGTCTACAAACAATAAATGCTGGAGAGGGTGTGGAGAAAAGGGAACCCTCCTGCACTGTTGATGGGAATGTAGATTGGTGCACTCACTATGAAGAACAGTATGGGGGTTTATTAAAAATCTAAAAGC